CACGCAAGTTCATGTATTCCTTGAAATTACGGCGTTTTAAATCAAATAATTACCAGCTATCTCGTTGAAGAACTATTCAACTGATTTCAACGCGATGAGCAGAAGATGGGATTGAACCACGATTATACACGACGTTCAATAATTGATTTTTTAAGTTGCCATGAGAACACAAACATTAAAAAATGAATTCCGTCTTCCGTTTCAGGGTGATGTTGGATTGCCAGGTGATCATGGGCCAGATGGGCTGAATGGCGATATGGTGAGTCAACAGTACCACTGCCTTGATTGATCTGTAGCGTAGATTATGTGTATTAATCAGTCATGGAGGATTGGGGTTGACAAATATTTCTTTTTTTTACCAACAGGGTCCTCCTGGGTCAGTACCTGGGGCTCCTGGTCAAAGAGGAAAGATGGGAGAAAAGGTAAATGTCTTTAAGGTCTTCAGATTCCAGTCGAATTAGCCGAATCAATAAATGGGCCATAATTTTAATCTCTGTTCTAAGTGTGATGTTTTTTTTTCGATAGCGTGCAGTTTTCTTCTTTTCTATTTATTTGAACTTTACAGTTGGTTTCTATGTCCGTATTTGCTGGAATCGTGAAGTTTCTTGAAAAAAATGTTCTCCCGTGATCAATATTGAAAATGTCTCTTCCTCCTTCATTTGTGTTGATAAACATTGATTTTCCCACAATCCAATGCGCTCTTCAAATGGAAATCACAAGTATGAGGTTTGACCTGGGCGCGACTTGCACTGATTACCGCCGGTGACTCCTTCGATACCTTCTAATCACATGAAAATTACCTAATTACAGCTTGGAAACGTGTCAGTTCGTACTCATTGGTCTGCGCAACAGTCAAAGTCGCCATCTTTGTTTATATGAGACCCATATATCTCGCACATGCGCAGCGCGACGACTACCGCGCTTTACGGACTTGGTCGGATAAAAGACTTTCACTAAAAAAACTTTCATCCCAAAAATAGTATATCAGAATGTTTCAAAGTCATGATAAGACCATTATATATGTACACATTGTTGTTTTAGGGTACAATCGGAATCAGGGGACCCGCTGGGATTGCTGGAGATCCAGGCCCCAGAGGCCGTCCTGGTCATGGTGGATTCAGAGGTTTCAGAGGTAACATGGGAGATCTAGTAAGTAGGCTATATTATACCTGAATCACAGAAACTCAAAACATTGTTTCTGAATGCACAACAATCATTTTTACCTGCAAATAACCTCATCATTCGATTTGAAAACTTTCATCTAAGCTTGGCAGAATGTGTTGATTGAAAAATACATTTTCAACTAACCTCGTATAACTGTTTCTGATTGGTTGATTTAAATATATACAATGCTATCGACGTTACTATAGTGATTTGCTCGTGTTTATAATACCCGTATTGTAATTTGACAGGGGGACCGAGGAGAACCTGGTTTACCTGGACTGCCTGGCCCTAAAGGTAAACAAGTAAGTAGTGATAGATAGACATTATCGGTATTTTATCTGGAAAAGCAAACGTATGTTAACAAATTGCCAGACTCGAAAATGTCATAAATCTGCTTCGTTCCAGGGTTATCGAGGTTTTCGCGGTGAACCAGGACATCCAGGTGTTCGGGGGTATGAGGGTGAGGTGGTAAGTAAACTCATGGAATTCCATCTGTGAACTTTTCACTTTTTTTAGGTAGGCTACACTCTGAATATGTTTCCATAATTGGCGACATGTGCACGATTGTATTGACATGCGTTTAATACATTTGAATGGCAATTTCACTTGGGCTCACCAAGTGACTTTACTCTGATCGTACATGTATTTGATTAAAGCGGGAGGGTCGTCACCTGCGCACGCATTCCAAGCGACGATAACAACACACGCTAAAAACGCAAAGGCTCATGGATAGACGCTTGCTTCTATGCTATCGATAAAGAGCCATTGCTCGAAACGTCTAGCTATTTTAATAGTTATTTAGGACTACGATTACCAAATATTATCTTCAATATATCATGGATAGACGCTTGTTTGTAAACAATGACACGCTATGGCCATCTGACGCATGCGCAGGTGAAGATTCCCGCTTTAAATTAGATTGGGCCATTATCTACTTACCATGCGTAACAGATTACAATTATTCCACTTAATCATAGGGGGATGAAGGATTACGAGGAGATCCCGGATTTACAGGAGCGCCAGGAGTACCTGGAATGTATGGTCCCCGGGTAAGCCTATAATATCTGTGTTTGTTTGTTTGATTTGTGGATTATTAAGGATGCGGTCACGGTTACGAACTTTTATTCACAGTGGTCCATGAACTTGTGTATGATTTTAGAATTTAATTTCTCATTCGATTACATGCGATTAGAAGTTTTCAATTATTTTTTTGTTTTATTAACTCGCATGTACGATCTAATAACACTGTGTTTTTCTCTTTTCTTTTTAAGGGTCCCACTGGAGATAGAGTGAGTACATTTCAATAATATTTATCATAGAGCACAGATAAATGGAAAACTTCAAACACAGTGCTCGGATTATCTTACTATAAAATATTTAAATGTGGGTATTTTCCATCATCGATGACACTAAATCTGAGGAAGGAAGGCGCACGCAATAATAATCTATTTATTTTTTACTGGGGATTCATGGTATTGATGAGTAGGCAGCCAATGAGCGCATGAGAATACTGATCGCTCATTCAACGCCGTGGCCCACGAAGCATAAAACATAAGAACTAACTCACAATACCAAGCTGCAAAAGTTTCCGCCATATGTTTTCCGTTTATTGTGACAGTTCACAACAATTATTATTAAATAACCAATACTTGTCGCATCACGTGGGCTGGGTTGGTTCAGTTGGATAACCTAGCCAGAAGCTGTCAAAGTTGTCAGCCCGTGTGTCAAGTCCCCAGTAACATATTATACATACAACTGTATAATGGCCTACAAAACCAAAAGTTAGAATCTCAATGACGTCAGAGGTATGAATGACAAGTCAACAAATGTCCGTTGAGTAATGTATGGAATTTATTGAAAATCAGTCTGTAATATTCTTTGTTAAAATTGGCATTAACGAAAGCTATATATTTTCCCCCCACAGGGAGATGCTGGCCCAAGGGTTAGTATACACCATACTTTTACGTTAATCCCCAAGATGTTATATAAATGGTGTTAAGGTAGAAGAAGCCTAGTCATCATTTTTGACATAAATTGCATGACAATATTCAATAGTTTGTTATGTACAATCATGAAGCTAATGTCCCATGGTACAATTATTTTGTGTGTTACAGTTATGCTTTTTGAGAAACGTGTCCTAATATTTCTTGAAAATTGCTATTTTTTGAACAATTCCATAGAACACAATGTTAAAGAAAAATTGCATTTTTTGACACTTTTTAAAACCCAGGTTTGCCATCATTAACAATATATGATTTTTTCAGTCTATGTAACCAGGCTAGATTTTGAGATATTTGCATAATATCTCTGCCATATGAACCTGGGTTATAATAGTGTCAAAATGGCGACTTTCCACTAAAATACAACCATCATCATGATTTTCTCGAAAAAGAGGCTGGTGACCTCCAACTTTGGAGTACAATTTATTGCAAAAAGAATAAATTCTGGGTATTATAATTTATGACTAGGCTTCTACCTTAAAGCAATTACCGATATTCCTCCGTCTTTTGCACACTAGCATGATATTAACCAGCGACATATTCTTTGTTGTACCTTCGACATGCTTTTATTTGCACGCTGCTCATTTTGAACGTTCGAGCTGAATCGATTTTCGCTGTATTACAATAATTACAATGAGCTAACTATATTACCTTATTCTTAATTATTTTTTTTGCACAGGGCGATACAGGAACTCAGGTGAGTCTTCCCACAATCCTTAGCTCACTGTCGCCATTTTTTTTTAATCTGCTCGCTGACACCTGGAATTTACGAATCGTGATTCGCAAATTATGAGTCATGTCGTGCATGTGGTCACGTGCACCGACGTTTATATGTTTCTAGTCACGGTAACCGTGTTCTAGTATAGTGTCACCGTAGCATGAATTTACTAATAATAGAATTACGTGACTACAGAAAGTTAAACGGCGTGGGAAACGGGTTAAAGACGAGTCGATGAGCGCAAACGAGAATGTTGTTCGAGTGCGTTATTTTATCGCGGTATTTTACGAGTGAAAACAAAACTATGCAAATGAAAAAAAAAAAAAGATAGTTAATGATGTCGACCCACTGTGTTGTTACGATGATTGTCTGGCGGCAACGATTGTGATATTTTTTAATCATCTGACAAATATTTTGTCTCTTTATTTTCACAGGGACTGCCAGGGCCTACTGTAAGTATATTAATATATTGTTTATATTCTGTTTTACTCTGTCTGGTCTTCAAAGCGTTAGCGTCGATTTCGATACGGGTTCTGTGCGACGTACACAAGGCGTTCTGTCTAAAGAATGTGGTTCCATGAAGTGTAATTTGTTAGATGTTTTCCGTTTGAAATTTGGGGAACTGGCGGATATTTTTTTTATATAAAATGTCATTCATTTTTATTCGCTTTTTCCCCAATTCGTTTATATGCGTTGTGATTTTTTTTCAATACCCCCTCCCAGTTTCAAATCCTTGTTCGGTTCCGTTCAATGAAACAACATGTTTTCGGCTATGGACGTTCTATCGTGCTAACGTTAACCAATCAAATCGTGTAATCGATCACTATGGTAATTTAATTGATTGATTGATTGATTGATTGATTGATTGATTGATTG